CTGGCAAACTACAATCTCAAAAGAAGAGAACCGGGAATATTTAGAAGCAATGTAATTCAGAACTAATTAAACATGTTTTGATCTTTGATCCGGAAAACTATGGGACTATACAATCTCTTTAATAACTAAAACAGTAATAAGATTTTTATGTGAGGTTTCAAAAGGAATCAATTTTATTACTGACAAAAGTATGATGTTCCAACGCACGGTTTTCAATGTGTGTGTTTATACAGGTTTTACCTTTTTTGTTTTGATGGAAAAGTATTGTGTATGGGTTTTAAACTCAAATTTTGTTGATCATCAAATAAATCGGTTAATATAACTCATACTGTTATTTTATGAAACTTGAATTCTTAACATGAATATACATGTTAATAAACCATTGCCAAAGTTCATTGGAGATATGAACCATTTGAGTTTGATTGGTTTTGGATTATGAGTTCTTTAACATTCACACTCAATCACTTTTATAGGTTTGCATCCCTTCGAAAATAAGTTGCCTCTAAAGTTAGATAGAATAAAAAGACGATTACAACTACAATGAAGAAGCTGGACTACATGGGACAGGATGAGAAGCATAATACTAAGGTTTGGATAATTGGATTGGATTTGGCTTCAATCAAAATCACGAGTCAAGGAAATATGATCAAAATGATAAAACAATGATTAAACTAAAGTCTAACTCTACAAGACAAATCACTCCAACTGATATTATCCGACTTGTTCCACCAGATATCTCTTGGTGCTACCACTAACTCCATATTTGACGAATTGCTTGAACCTTTAAATTGTGGAATAATGACTGTGCGTTTAAAATGAAAGAAATCATACATACGTTGATTATTGCGGGTTATTAGATAATGAATAAGATTTAACATATATATATTTTATAACGCGGGATCCGTCGATCGAAGTCAATGGACTAATCCCATGAGATCCGCAGCAGCTACATATTCTTACCATTTAAGACAACTCGGATAGCTAATGGATATTGAACGGTGAATTCAGTGTATTGGATTTATCTTTCAAGTGCCAGTAATCCAACTCTTGGTTAAGATTTAACATATATTTACACAAAAGATGGAGATAAATTTGAATTTTGGAATAATAATAAATAATGGTTTGTGATGTATCAGAATCAGTTACACACCGCAGTAGGAAACATATATATCAGTAAAACATAGAAAGCATTAACTACAGTTTTATCTTATACATAACCCAAAACAAGTTAATTTCTTGAGAAGAATTTGATTAAATGACTAAAATATTCGTACTTATTAGTAGTATGTAGTATAGTAAGCTTGTTAGCTTTTCAATCCCATAAACCCACGTGCATCTCAAATTATTACACAACCCACATCCTAATTTTCCATATCTTTATAGGAAAAAAGCAGATATATGTTTATATATATAATCCCAAAGTTATTAGTATAATAACATTTGAAATGAGAAAGATGATGAAAAGTGAAAAGGGTTTCTTTGAAAAGCCTCTCATGCCTCAATAACGTGATCCGTTCTAGCCCATCTTCTCTGTCTTTGCTCCAAGGGAGATCTTCCCTACAGCTTAATTAACTTTATTAGCCTCTACCTTCATTTCACCAAACTACCCTCCATAGACTAGTATTCTCTCTTTACAAGTGCTCCAATGTGTGTTTCTAAAATCAGCGAAAGAAAACTGCAATCGGAACTATGCGTTATATTGTATCTCAACTTAATGCCGTAAGCGTTAAAACAATGTTTCGTTTGCATCAACATGTTATATTATTATAAATATAAACGTATACGTAAATAAACAATAGTTTGCATGAACTTTATGGTAAAAACATATCTAATTTTTATTTTTATTTTTGGTGACTCTTTAATTAGTTTCAATCTTAATCAAATGTTATCTACACTATTTAAACTCTTTTACGTGAAGTAATCTACAAGTTGCAAACGAAATATATGGCATCATGTGGAAATATGTAAGCAAACATTTATGAGTGATGATCCATAAAAACATCATGTTAGATCAGAAAAATGATATGATTATTGTTGGAAAAAAATCGACGATCTTTGGACTTTAATACATAATTAGATAAGTGTAAATCTGTATAACTTAAGGTTCCGACTGTTTGCAACTGTAGTGACTGTGGTTTTACAGAAAAAAAATACTTTACAAATTTTAGGTTTTAAAAAACTGTCAATAACTTTAAATAAAAACTAAAGCCATAAATTGTTGGTTTTTAAAACCACTCACCTAACAAAGGAGAAATAATAAAAATGGTTTTAGAGGCTTTAGAATTAACAAAAAATTATTGAAGCTTGATTGGTTAAATATTGACTGTAAGGACTTTAAATTAACTAAAACCTCAAGAGTCTAAATTCCAATCGGACCCTTAAGTGTGTTTAAGTTATAAGGCATAGCAGCCCAACGTTTATCAATAAGAATCTATTACACTGGTGTAAGGTTTTTTTTGACATTGTATCAGTTCATACACTTTTCCACTAGTCCGATCTCAAAAAAGTTCTATTATTATCCCATTAATTGATAGTCAGAATAAGTTTTAATTCGGTAGCGATATCCTAAAAACATTATTCTTAAGAAGCATAATGAATTTTGTCAAAATTAATATCTAAAAGAGTCATCATCTCAGAGAGGATGTCAAAGAAAAGATCTCAGATTAGAAACTTAAGAAGGAATTAAGTATTATATAAGAGATTTGAATTATTTTTTCAAATTTGTAAATAAAAACAGGCCACTAAAAAAACTATTGACCTACATTATAATTTATGTAATCCCAAGGGTTATTAGTTATAATAACAGTTGAAATGAGAAAGATGATGAAAAGTGAAAAGGGTTTCTGCGAAAAGCTTTCATGCCTCAATAACGTGATCCGTTCTATCCCATCTTCTCTGTCTTTGTTCCAACCGATATTTTCTCTACGTCTTAATTAACTTTATTGTCTCTACCCTCATCTCACCAAACTACCCTCCATGGACCTTCATTTTCTGTTTACAAGTGCTTCAATGTGTTTTTTCAAAACCAACAAAACGTTGCAATCGGAACTTATGAGTCATATATGTCATTAGTGTCTCAAGCGTTTTTTTTTTAGTGTCTCAAGCGTTATGTATAAGATAAATTTCGTTTGCATCTACATATTATTTTAAACATAAACGAAAAGGTAAATAAACAAAGTCTGGATGAAATTTATGGTAAAAACATGTCTATTTTTTTTTGTTTATTGGTCACTCCTTATTTGGAATCTTAATAAAATATTTATTATTATTATTTCTTACGTTAAGTAGTAGTAAACATCATGTTAGACGAGAATAATGATGGTTATGTTGGAAAACCACTTTTTACAACAAATGTTGGAAAAACAACCATATATTGCCACCGTAAAATTTACCACATATTTAGTTTATATATTGAATTCTCCTATTAGACATAAATTAAAATGCCTTTATGGTAAATATTCGTTTATAACTAAGTCGGTGTTTAAAAACAGTCCTAATTGTTGTACAATCAAATCATTTCGTCTTATCATCAATCGAGTCAATGGAACCACACTTGACAACAAATTCACATAATGATGGTACGGTGGTCGTTTGTTAGAGGATTATGGAGATATTCATTCTATAAAACAAAATTATCAAATAACCAATATACGAGGTATAAATGGTAAATATATTAGCTAAATAGAATCGATTATATAGTTTGGAATTATTGAAAAGTGTACATAGGCTGAACTTTTGTTAAAGTGACTGAATTAGAAAATTCCGTTGAGATATCTAGCTAGGTAACAAGTACAATAGAACCACTTTTCATTTTTTTTTAACAGTAGAACCATTTTTCTTTTGTAGGTTAAAAGGCTCAAAACGAGTAAATACATGATTCACATATTTTTAATAGACTAGAGCAGCTTTTGGAGAAATATTTTGAAAATATTATTTCTTCTAGTCCAGCATATGTCAAATATTATCAACCTAATAATAATTTGAAAATAAAGTGAATTTTTACATTCCGTCGAAATCATTAATATATTTACTAAACTCCACAACTATCAATTTCAGCCAGATATTCCACAACTATTATTTCGAACAGAACCATAAAAACGAATGGGTATATTCGTCATCTCAATAGATATATATATGTGCACAGACAGGAAGCAGCTTAAATATAAAGTGATTGGTAATGCCACCCTCCACTTATTGAAAAAACTGCAGCCTTTTAGCTCCCAACAAAAAACAAAACCAAAAAAAAATGGCTGAACAACAACAACAAGATCATCACAAAGAGCTTCAGCTTTTACCTTCTCCACCGTCCACGGAATCTCCTGTTAGGAAACTCCGACCAACAGTTATAACAACCGATCACCACCATTCCTCATCCATGATCCACCACGATCTCGACCTCAAACTCTCCATCAGCCTCAGCACAATTCCAACTGCGACTGTTGAGCATCAAAACGATGGCTGTGGAGGAGGTGGTGTAGAGGCCCTGAAGTGGCAGGCGTCGGAGCAAATAAGACTTGCTGCGATAGAGAAGGCTTACGCGGAGAGAGTCAGAGAGCTGACTCGCCATGAGATGGAGATGGCTCAAGTTGAGTTTGCTCGTGCAAGGTAAGGAAGCTTAGGTTAAGTAGTTCCGGTTTGGTTTGGTTTGGTTTGTTTAACGGTTTTTGGGGTTTGGAATCAGGGTGATGTGGCAGAAGGCGAGGGAGGAGGTCGAGAGAGCAGAGAGGTTAAAGGAGAGATCAATGACGAAGATCGATACGACTTGCTTGGAGATCACTTGCCACTCTTGCAGGCAACGGTTCAGGCCTT